AAAGAAATTAAAGTTCCTTATTCGATGACCGCAATGCTCTTCTATGTCTAGTCGTAGCCGAGCACTACAATCCTCGACTTCGGGATTGGGGGAGTGGTATTCGGGTGATGGTTGAGCTGGCTAAGGATTCCACGTGGCAACCTCTGTGGTCGTCCTCTCTCTCTAGCCACGTCGACACCACGTGTAATGGAAGAGCACGACTATGAATAAGTGTCCTACATGGACAAGGAAGCGGACTCCACCGGGGAAGAGGAATCCTCCCGAAGACCTTGGCAGATGACCTCATCCCGACAACCCCGGAAGTCCTATTCATCTAGAACATAGACACCCAACTATAAATAGGTATTCCCCGCTCGAGGTAAGGGACATTTTGGAAGAACACTCTAAATATCTCTCAACTATCTCTTCAGCTTGGACCAGCATTATTCCAACTTGCTTGGTCCGATCCCCTCTTTCTCTACCCAACTAACTTGAGCATCAGAGTACCTACCCGGGGAATAACTCCTCTGGCCTCTAACATCTCTCTTGATTGCAAATCTCAGTGTGCGGCTTCGTCCTTCCACTTTAACATTGTCCAGCTAGCAGGATTATCTGATTGTGTCTTCGATTCGAAACACTTCGGATCAAACAACATCAAATTGCACAACTCAAATTCCACCGCTTTTAATGTACTGATCATCTCCAACCCATGCCATATTATGTTTATCATCGACGAAAGACTAACTTGGATGAGCCACAGTCTATGCTCACAAACACTACAAAATGGGACCGAGAGACAGAGATGATCATCGCCTTGGGTAGTTCTTCAAAAATCCATGTCGGTTTGGAGCCTAGCCAAAAGGAATGAGAAGAGGATATCGTCAATGGCTCCAAACACATTTGAACGTAACAAGGGACCCCTATGGACAAGAATTGGTTCGATGCAGTGGCAACAAAGATTAAGTGGCTTCTCTTCTTTGTCTCAGGCGACAACGATTCAACGACTTCTCTTCTCTAATCTAGAATAGAAATAAAAAACTCCTTCTCTTCTTTGTCTCATGCGAAAACTCTTCAACCTTTGCCATCTCTTCTTCTTCCCATCATTTTTTGTCTCCCTTGCTTTCTACCCACCACTGCAAATCGAACCAGCACTGGTAGAATTCTCTCCATATCTCTACCCTAATCCAATGAGAACCCCAACCTCCTATAAGCTCTGCCCTTTGAACTAGACGGATTACCAGAACAGTGATTTGTCTTGCTCTTACTGGCCTTTTTGCTAGTCGTTGAGTCCATCCTTGTGCAAAAGGCAAGCAACATGAGGTGAGAAGCTCGTTGAAATCCCCTTTTGCTGCATCAGTCGTTCTCAAGCCATATATGCAGGTAAATCCACCATCGCTGAGTTCTTTTTTTCTTTCTTTTCCTTTGTTTTTTACTTTGTAGTGGATTTATTTTGAACCCACCAACACCGCATCCGACGTCTTCATTGCATACACCTTGTGTCATCCTTTTACAAGGTGAGAGAAGAACCACCACCTAAGGTTGTAGGGGTGTTTCCACCGTGTGTGAAGGAGGTGAGGATAGAGTGAGTGAGAAAGATAAAGATTCTAAATGGTATTTTCGGAATTTTGAAAAAAGCAGTCACGTGATGTCATATCTGATTGAGTGTGACATAAAGTTAATGGTAGGGGAAGTTTTAGACAACTCTCAGAAACATAACATGCTTTGAGACAATATTAAAATAGTAGGAGTATAGTTAATTAATTTCCTAAATGTAGGGGTTGTTTAAAAAAAGTTGCCATAAATTAAACTATTTATAAGATACTATTCAAATGATACAATAGGACACAAAGTGGAGCACACTCGAGCAACAATATAGAAGAAACTTCAATTAGGTTTTGCTTCCCTGAAATGTGCCCAATCTCAACTTCTTTAAAACCACCTTTTGTTAGGGTTGGGCTTTGCCTTTCTATTAACATAATATGTCAAGCTCAAGCCCAAGCCCTATCCTTATGTAAAGTTTGAAGTCCAATTTAAAAATAAAAGCTACTACCTACAATAATTTAATAAACTAATATTATATTAATTTTGAAATAATTTAATAAATTAATATTATATATTATTTATATATATTTTTATTATATGTAATATCACTGGATTGGGTTCGGGCTAGTTAAGCTTATTTGAGAAAGCCTAACCTTCGCCGAAAAAATAGTCAAGCCCGATGCTTAGAGTTCGAGCATGTTACCTAAAAAGAGGGTAGATTTAATAAGGGTAAATTGATGAAACTTCCCTTGAAGTTTCTAGTTTTTGCTAAAACCTCATTTGGTGTTTGGTAATTACAACCATGGAATCCTCTAAAACCTCCCTTGAAGTTTCTAGTTGCAAGTAGACCCCCTCTATTAGAATCCTCTAAAAAGAGGCATGGAATGTTCAAAATACCCATGCACTTATTTTTAATCAAAATGGCTACTTCAAACCCTTCCAAACTCTTTCCTAAAATTGACTTATTTTCCAAATTTTGCATGTTTTCAATTTGTAGTTGTTACTTTGAAATATGATGAGAGTTTCTCAAATTCAACCATTGCTAGTTGCCAAGACTTTGTGGGGAGCTTCGGCCATCAGTTTCTCTCATAGGTGAGACCTGATGAACCTACCGACGCCAATCTTGTCATTGCAGACATCAATAGGGGTGGCAAATGGGTGGTTTGGGTTGGGTTGGGTTGGGTAAGGGTTGAATACCAACCCACCCATATTGATCCACCAACCCACCATGACCCATCACCAATCAGTGTTAAAGAGTCATAACCCACCCTAACCCACCCATATTGACCCACTTGACCCATTAACCCTTAACCACCCTAAACCATACTAACCCACTTACCCTCACCTATAAATGCAAAAATGGGTCGGACGGCCTGTATACCGAAAATAATTTTTGAGTGAATGATCTATTTTTCAAGACTGCCATGTGACAAAAACAAGTCTGGTCAAATCCGTATACCAAAAAATGCAAAAATTGTAGATAAATGCAGAAAATAGTAGAAATTTTGTAGAAAATGCAAAAAAAAACCATTAAATTACCAAAAAAAAGCAAAAAATTAAAAATTGCAGAAAATTTAGAACTTTTTGTAGAAAAAAATCAAACAAGACCAGAAAATGCATAAAACACTATAAAATGCAAAAATTATGCAAAAAAAAGCACAAACATTTTGTAGAAAATGAAGAAAAATACCAGAAAATTATAGAAAGTGTAGAAAAATACCATAAAATTACAAAGAATGAAGAAAAATACCAAAAAATTACAAAAAATAGCATAAATTGTAGGAAATGCAAATGCATAACTTTTATAAAAGTGCTTTTATAAAAGTACTTCCATAAAAGTTATTTCATACAAAAGTACTTTCGTAAAGTGCTTTTATGCTTTTAAAAAGTGCTTTCATAAAAGTACTTTTATAAAAGAGCTTTTATGCTTTCATAAAAGTGATTTCGTGTAAAAGTATTTTTGTAAAATTGCTTTCATAAAAGTATTTTTATAAAAGTGCTTTTATGCTTTCATAAAAGTGTTTTTGTAAAATTACTTTCATAAAGTGCTTTTGTAAAAGTACTTTTATAAAAGTGCTTTCATAAAAGTCCTTTTCATAAATGTACTTTATAAAATTGTTTTTTGTGCAAAATTGCATGTGAACATGACAGTTAATAAATTCTATTTTATTTCACATTTAATCTCAAAATGAAGTGTGGTATGGTGGTTTGGAATTGCAATGAAGTGTGGGTGCCGCTAGGAAGCCTGAGTTTGAGTCACTTCACCTTTTTTTGAGATTTGGTGAGTATAGATAGAGTTGACTTTGACCCAACCCATCCTAACCCTAATGGGTACCCTTGACCCAATCCACCCTGACCCTAATGGGTTACTCGACCCATACTGACCTACCAATAGATTGGGTGGGTATGGGCAGGTGGGTTGGGTGGGTCAAATGGGGTTGGGGACAAGATTGCCAGTAGGGCTGCAAGTCAAGCCAAGTTAGGCTAGGTTAAGGCCAACCCTAGCCCAACTGTAAGTTCTAAACCCCTAACACTAACTCTAACCCAACCCGACCTTCAACCCAATCTACCCAAACCTAACCCTAACCCTAACCCTAATTAAATTCCTTCAACCCTAACCCAATCCAAAGTTGACTTCGGGTTGGGCTGGGCTTGGGTTAGGCCCAACCCAACATTCTTCCCCTTTAAAATCTCATAAAACTATTTAATCTCAAATGTTAACTCACTTTTCACTATATATTAATTCTATGTTTTATTAGTATTTGTTTGTTGATATTTTTATTAGTTCTTTTAATACAAAATAAAAAAAGAAGTGTTTGAAATGATTATAATTACTATGAGTTATGGCTTTTGATAGATCTTTTATAGGCACCAAACATTAGAGAGGAGATAGAGAATAAAATATTCAAAAAACATTGAACATGTTATTAAGATTTTAGTCTCTTCATTTAGTAATATCTTTAAAGAAATACATGATAGTATGTAGTGAGGGCTATACAACTATTGTACATCTAAAAAAATCAATGTAAGATATATAATATATAACATATATTTATATATGACATATACTATAGAGGCAGGTTGGATGGGGTTGCCCAATGGGTCAACCCTAATCCAACCCGAAATAAAGTCGGATTCCTAAATTTCAACCCTAACCCTAACCCGAGCATCAATCCGATAGAATCGGGTTCGGGCCAACCCGGCCCAAGTTACAGCCATAATTGCCAGCCCTAGACGTCAATCACCAAGACTTCGTGGATAGTCTTGGCCATTAACTTATTGTAGAGGTGAGACCCAATGAACCCGCCGGCGCCAATCTTGCTAATATTATCTAGTAAACAAAAAATTTGCCACGTAAAACTATAGGGGTATATAAGTAATTGACACTTCAATCATCTAGCTCGGTCGAAACAGGACACTCGAGTCACTGAAGTAAATTGTAAATACAGGCGATAAAACGGTTGAAAATCGCAGGAAAACCTCTCCTTTTTACCTGCGGACTACAACAGTGTCGGAGTCGCCTCCCCCCTACCCTTCCTTTTGAAACGCTTTTCCTTCTCACAGAAGTATACTCTCCCTGCCTTTCTGCATCACATGTCGAACAGCCATCTCTCTTATCTACCCGAAGACGATGAAACAGAGAATGAACATGAAGACGAAGGCGAAGACGAAGAAGAAGAAGAAGACGATGATGACGAAGATTATGTTCCACCTACAGGGATAGACATTGTTCCACAAAACCCACTTTCAGATTTTGTTCAACATGCTTCCATGGAAAACGAACTGCAAGAGCAAGGCGCAGACGGGTTCGTTCCTCAGGTTCCGGCAAATGCAGCACCACAAATCATCGAAGTAGAAGATGAAGAAGAACAAGAAGAGGATCGAAGAAGAAGAAGAGAACAAGGAGAAGCATCGTCTTCATCATCAAAGAGAGTAGTAGAATGTGAAGAAAATAATACCACGACACAACCGAATCTGAACGATGTGGTTGGTACAAGCTGTTCTATTTGCATGGAATGTTGGACCTCTGATGGTACTCATCAATCCAGGTTCGAAACCCCATTTCCCTCACCTCAAACCTCTTTTAGGTTTCTCTATCCGTTTTTTTTGCAATTATATTCTGAAGAGTACTTCAATTTCAGTCTGGTATAGAGACATATTAACATGGAAATTATGCATTGGTATTGCTTTGGTTAATTATTTAGTTTCTGAAGGTTTAGTTTGAAGATTTATGTTTCTGATAGAGTGCCATATTAACATGGAAATTATGCATTGGTTAATTATTTGGTTTGTGAATCTTCAAGTTAAATAAAAGTAGAATAAAATAAGAGGGGAAACCGGTAGAAATCTTCCCTATTAGTCTCGGCCTGAAAGAGAAAGGCACAGAGAGATATGAGAAGAACTAGAGCTGAAAGCTGTGGAGATTGAGTCTGTTTGTCTCTCTAGCTGCCGCTCACTTTTATTCATTTACTAAATAAATAATAAATAACCGCTTTACCCCTGACTAAGAAAGGAGAGAAAAATAACAAAACATAATGTGTAATCTCAACTAATCCCCTGCCACCCATAAACAGAAAAAAAGATAAATAGACATTTCAACACTCGCCCTCAAGTTGGAGCATAAATTTCATAGAATTCCAACTTGTTACAAATAGAACTCATTCTTGCACGATTTACACCTTTAGTGAAAAAGTTGGCTAACTGATCTTCTGACTTCACATAGTGTGTAACAACTTCTCCACTTGCTACATTTTATTCTCACAAAATGGTAATCCACTTCTATGTGTTTGGTCCTCTCATGGAATACTGGGTTAGTGGATATGTGGGTGGCAACTTGATTATCACAAAACAACTTAATAGGAGAGGGTACATCTATCCCAATTTCCTATAATAAGCGCTTAAACCACACCAACTCACAAGTAGTATGAACCATGGCTATATACTCTGCTTCTCCACTACTTCTAGCAACTACAATTTGCTTCTTGCTTTTCTAAGAAATTAAATTACTCCTAAGGAAGGTGTAATAACCTGTGGTGGACCTCCTATTTGTGTTGGACCTTGCCCAGATTGCATCTGAATACCTTTCTAAGGATAACTCACCTCCCTTCTTATATAACAACCCTCGGCTAGGAGTACCTTTCACATATCTCAATACCCTTATAATTGCTTACCAGTGGCTGGTTCTGGAGTTTCGCATGAATTGACTAACCACACCCACACTAAATGAATGTATGGTCTCATAATGGTGAGGTAAATGAGCTTGCCAACTAGTCTTTTGTACCTTTGTGGATCATCCAAGGGCTCCCCTTCACCATATGAAATCTCCACATTTGGATCAATTGGAGTTTTAATTGGTTTAGCTCCTAGTAATATTGTCTCCTCCAATAAGTCTAGAACATACTTACGTTGGAAAAGGGAGATTTCAAATTTGGATCTAGCAACTTCAATACCCAAAAAATATTTTAGGTGTTCCAAATCCTTAGTCTGAAATCGTTGTTGCAGAAACTGTTTCAACTCCCTAATTCCCTCACCATCATTGCTTGTAATGATTATATCATCACCATAAACTGCTAAGATAATTTTTTCGATTGGTATGTCTTTGCTAAGCATAGAATGGTCCACACTACACTGCTTTAAGCTGATTTGCTTTACCACATTGCTAGGTTTTTCCATGGTTTAAAATGTCATGACATTTCGCTAATGTCGCCCGACTTATGTTGGTGTCGAGACATACTCACTTGAATTAAAAAAAACAAAATGTCGGTTGATATTTCGACCATTTCGGTAAATATCGCCTATGTCGTTTAAAAAAACAAAAAAAATACAATATGTCGAAACATTTCATCCAAATGTCAACAAATCAGCAGCATATTATTCAAAGTGAAGACAATCAAATTTCATCATAAGCAAAAAGAAAAAAAGAGGGAGATTAAATGGGAAAAAAGAAGTTTTCAGTTTACTTACCTGAAGCCGGAAGAACTACAACTTCAGGCTCGAATAGGCACAAGAGTGGCTTCTACCCTCGGTCTTGTGCTGAAATACCTTATTGGAACGAGACGCAGGACATTGGACATGTAAAACTCCAAAAGAAATTGCTCTCATCTCACTCTCAAGTCTCATCTTGATTCAGGTATGCAATACTATCCCTATTTCCCTCTCACAGTGAATAACCATGAAAAATAAGGGTAAACAAGGAAAAAAATAGAAGATGAGGAGTTGAGGAGAATGCTTGTCTTCATCTTCCTCTTCTATTTCTTTGTCTTCATCTGCAGATTCTTAAAGTCCTCGCACAGCCGCACTGCATCTTTGTGTCTTTGTAGAGTCTTCGAAATTTCAGGTTGAGGGTTCGAATGACTAATGAACCCTTAAGCGTAAATGTTATAAAAGACATGCCACAGTACATGATGGTCTATTTAAGTCTATAGACCATCACAAAAGCAAGCCTTTAAATGGAATCTTTAAAACATAATTACAAGTATGTTATAGTGCAATAGGTTCTATTGTAATAGTACAGACCTAATAGAAAACTTATAAAAAGAATCTTTAATATATTCTTATAGTCTTATTATAAGTCATAACCATTGGACTGACTTTTTTTTGATTGGAAACGGTAACTTCATTAAGCAAATTAGGAAATTTCACGTACAACTGTCAGCCCCAGAATAGGTGCTGACTCCAAAAGACCTTTTTTAGAATTCTACCTGGAATAGCCTTTCCCTCAATATCCCCTGTTTAGCTAAAGTATCAGCTAGTCCATTTGAAAGAAGTCCCAATCTCCTTTGTTATGTTGGTGGTCTCATAGTTTTCAAGGTGCCAAGGCGAGGTTAGGCGACCACAGGGCGCCTAGGCGTTGGAATTTTAAAATATTAATTTTCTTGGGTTTTTACTTTATCTATGCTTTTCTAAGCTATTTTATTGGTTTTGTGTGCTAACTAGCAAGCATGTACACTAACTATTAACTCTATAAATCATTCAAATGAATATAAAACTATAAATTTCATATAACTAGCAAGCATGAACACAGTACACTAACTATACACTAACTAGCAAGCATGTGCACTAACTTTTAACTGAAAAAAAATAAATAAATAAGTGCCGAAACTAGGAAGGGAGGAGAGGAGTATAGGGGCGGAAGAAGAAGAGGAAGAAGAAGAAGTATAGGGGATTAGGGGCAGGGAGGAGTATAGACCCTTGTTTTTTTCAAAAGAAAAAAAAAAGGGACTGAGAGTCAGAGACTATCGACTGAGAACAGTCAGGGGCGGAGTCCCTGTTTTTTCAAAAATAAAGAAGAAGAAGAAGAGAGGGGTGGAGCCCCTATTTTTTCGAAAAAAAGCAAAAAATGACTGAAGCTGGGCTGGATGAAGCAGAAGCTGGGCTGGAAGAAGAAGAAGAAGAAGAAGAAGAAGAAGAGAAAAACTTACCTGCTGAAGCTGAGGTGAGATGGAGTTCGGCTGGGGATTGAAGTCTTCGGTTCTCCTCCCTCTCCAATTGAATCGAAAAAACCCTTATGCATGTAACTGAAGAAGAAGAAAAAGGCTTTGTATTTGTTGTCTTAATAATAAAATAATGATAGTATGTAACCGGTTTTATTTTAAAAGAATAAAACATCTAATAAAATATCAAAATACAAATTTAAAAAATTATTAGATGAATGTAGGCGGCCGCCTAGTCGCCGAGGCGCCCGCTTAAGTCATTGGGCTGCAACCTTTTCCAGTCTCTATAAATGTCCTCAGCTGAGAAATCCTTAAACGGGTCAATTAATTTTAGCTGTTAAAGTGAGCCGAATAGGGGTGGTTTAGTCATCTTATGTTTGTTAAGTAGTTTGCTTATGTGGCAGTTTTATTAGAGACACTCTGCCCCACACTTAAGGAAGGGTAGTTTAGTCTTTGTAAAGGTCATTAGAATCTATAAAGATTAAGGGGGTTGACTGTATGGGTGGTCCATCAGATTTCGACAAACCCTTATTTTCTTTCTTCTTTTTTCTTCTCTTCCTGGTTCGGGTTACTGTAGTAGCATTCGAAACATGGTATCAGAGCCATGTTCCTGACCTACTTCAGTTGGTAAAGCACCTCAGCAGTGTTCGTGACTCTTCTTCCTTCGTTTCTGATCAGTCAATGGAGAGAACTGGTTCTCCCTAGGTCTGAAACA